TCAATGTCTCCTTTGCCCTATTGCTAGACTGATTACGTTGCAGAGGGACCCCATTTCCCTGGGGGCGAGCCCGGTGCAACACCAAACCCCCCAAAGCATGGCATGAAAACCTGAGTTGTGTTTCGGTAGCAGTGACTCAGGCCGCTGAAGGGATTGCACCCTCTTGGCAGGACAAACTGCATTCCCACCTGCTGCTCTGTTCTGGCTCCAACTCTATGCAAAGGAGCCAGAGACAGATTTCCTCCTGCCGTGGTGGGGACGCGGCCCATCAGACGCTATGTCTGTGTTTGTGCAACCCCACGAGCCCCAGCTGAGTGCGGAGGGCAGGGCAGGTCCAGCCATGCTGTTTCAGTCAGTTCATCCCTTCTCCAACTGCGAGGCCCCTCAATCCCAGCCCACAAATCCCTGCTACGGCACCCCAGCCCTTGGCACCACCGCCCAGCTCTGCCAATGCCCCTTGATCCTTAGGGGCAGCCCCCCGCTGACCTGGCCCTTCAGACGCATGTACCCACTAACCTCACAGGCAACCCAGCAACTGCTGCTGCTCTGCAGTGGGGTCGCTGAGTGCACACGGGGAACAGAGTTGGGATTCAGAGGAACAGCCGTGTTAGTCGGTATTCGCAAAAAGAAAAGGAGTACTTGTGGCACCTTAGAGACTAACCAATTTATTTGAGCATGAGCTTTCGTGAGCCACAGCTCACTTCATCAGAGTTGGGATTGTTTGTGTGGCTCATGGTGTGAGTCGTGTGGGGAGCGCTCTGTGCCTGGGACCCAGCTCAGACGGGCCCTGCACGGCTGCAGATGTATTTTCCCAGCTAACACTTAGGCCTTGAGGGGCCAGCCGACTGGGTGCCCTTCACTCCCCTGTGCCCTGGGCTTTCCTAGCAGGCTCTGAGGAGACTCCCCGTGGGCTGCAGCATGCTGGCTGGTGATGTCACAGGAAAACCCACCCAGCCAGGGCTTGCTGGGAGCCGAGCCCCGGGCTGTCCCTGCCCCATCCCCTTGCAGACACTCTCTAGGGTTGAACAAGACCCAGAAAAGGCTGCAAGGTTCCTGAAAACGCCTGCCCTTGCTGGGAGCCGGCCCTGGCGCGGCCAGGAGATGGGGCTGGAGGGCTGGAGTCTGGCACAGGGCATGTAGGGGATGCTTCTCACCCCAGCCTATGCCAGCCAGAGCCCGAGGAAGGGACAGACGCCGCCTGACAGGCGGGGTGGAGCTTCCTGGTGCAGCTGCGTCCAGATGCGGGGTTTCCAGCTCCCCTCTGGCAGCAGCTGGTGCGGGGCCAGAGAGGCCGCAGGGCCCCAGGCTGGCAGCTCCTCTCTGCCCCATGCGGCTCCCCCCCGCCCTGGTTCTCTGGCAGCGTCCCCAGCTGCGACTGCAGCGGCTTTGTCTCTGGCCCCCGTTCGTTCCTGTGCGGGGCGCCGAGGCTGTGCACCGCTGCACTGTCAGCGCTGGGAGGAAACCTCAAGGCTGAGCCGCCCTCCTCCCCGCTCCCCAGGCCTCGCTGCATGCAGAGCCCTCCCAGGGGAACCCCCTGCCCGCACCAGCGTTCAGCGCCGGGCGGGGGAGCGCAGGGGGGTTTCCCTGGGGCCCTCCCCACAGCCCAGCCTGCTCCCCCAGGTGTCCCCACGATCAGTGCTTGGGCTGGGAGTTGCAGAGGGCTGGCAAGTGCGGCACTGGGCCGGGATGGGGCAGTTCCCGCCAGTGGCCAAGGCCTCTCCTGTTCCAGGGTTTGGGGCTATGGGCTCCCCAGGGGATCTCAGACCCACAGCTGGAGCCGGGATCCAGCTGTTCCCCAGCATGGCAGTAAGAGCCCCCCGTTCTGGGCTGGCGCCGGTTCCTTCTCCCCCTTCCGCGGGCTCTAGGGTGTTTGCCTGTCGGGGACTGTTGGGAGGAAGTGGTGCTGGGAGGAGCTGGGCCAGGCCAGTCTGTTTCGACCCCCCAGGCCCGTGTGCTGGGGTCCGTGTGCCGTGTGGATGGTGGATGCGCTGGGTAAACAGGGAGAGGGTAGGGAGAGGATGCCAAGCCACGGTTCCCTCAGCTGGGGCCAGGACTGAACCCACTGGGTCGGTACAGTTTGACAGGCCACCCCCCACCCCAGCGTTCCTAACTCTGAATCCCCCACCCCTAGTGGAGGGGCGATGGGCACTCACTGTGCTGGTAGCTGTGATTCCCCAGGGGCCAGGCTGGGGAGGGACATGTGATTGCCGTGTGCCTCAGTTTCCCCCGTAACATGGGAGTGATGGAGCTTACCTGCCCCATTAGGGAGGGTAAATCCACAAATGTGTGTGAGGCTCAGGACGGGGCATGGAGATGGGTGTCCAGCCAGCCTGGTGTGGGTCACTGCTGGGGTCTGGGTACAGGAAGGGGGGAGCTGGGTACACAGACGTGGGGGGAATGACAAAGGGAGTCGGGATTCGCAATGAGCCACCTTCCCCTAGAGGGGTTTCTGGGGTTGCTGAGCTTCTGCCATGTTCTAAATGTCCAGCCCGCTTCCTGAGAAAGCAAAACAAAACACTCCCTGGTTTTATGTAGGACCTACGTTATTGGGAGTGAAATCACAATATTCTGGCTCCAGCTCGTGGGAGACAGATGCGGCCAGGGAAGGAGGCGGGAGCCGAGCACGCTCCCCATATTGCCAGCTCCATGTGTGGGCTGCGGTTTAAAAAAGGCTGAATCAAAGTTTGCCAGAGAGCGTCGGGGGCCCCTGGGAACAGGCAACAAAATGCACCTGCTCAGGCTCCCTGCCAGCCAGCAGCAGCTGGCACCCCCGGGCCGGTGCCCTTCGCCCCAGTCCGTCCGTGGGAAACACACTCCACGCTTGGCCTTTTAGAAAAGAAACTTTATTGGTCGGGCTGCTCACCAGGATGCAGTCATAGAAAATGGATAAAGCTCCGCCCGCCTCCCATGGCCCCCAGCTCATCACCTTGAGCTCGGGAGGGCCCAGGACTCGCGCTCTGCCCCGTGGACCCGCTCGGCTCCCTCCCTCCGGGGTCAGAGCTGCTTAGTGCGGTACCAAACCCTGGTGGCCTTGGGCCGCTCAAGCCAAGCGCCCGTCTGTGCCCTGGGAGTTGCTTACTCTGCTTCTCCGTAAGAAAAATATATCTGTAAAAAACAATAGATGGGCCCCTGGAAACAGACAGAGGGTGAACAGCCCCCTGCCCTGGCCACTCCTTCGCCAGCTGGCACCTCCCCTGCCATGGGCTGGGCTGCACAGGGGGGGGTGCAGCGCGGCTCGGCAGGGTGAGTGCGGGGCACAGCCAGTCACTGGGTCCCCACGCACATGCTGAAGGAATGGCCCTAGGCAGAGGGGCGAGGGCTCAGCCTGCCCTGGGCTGGGGGGCTGCAGAACATCTGGTTTCTCCGCGAGCTCCCGTGGCAAACAGTGAAGGGCAGCTCCGGCAGTGAGCAAAGATCCCAACCGAGGGCAAGCAAGGCTCCCCTGCCCCCTGGGGACTGCCACTGCCTGGGGCCTGGCATCCCCCCGCAGTGGCGGTGCCATCATGGGGTTGGCAGGGAAGGGCAGAGCATGGCAAAGGCCCAGCCAACCCCATCTCTTCCTGCCCATCTGTGGGGGCAGCACAGGGGTCCAGAGATGCCTTCTCGTGGCTTAGAGAGAACCCACCAGGGAGCCAGGCACAGAGCCCAGGTGCTGGGGCCGTGCCCACTTTGGCCTGGGCATGGCTGGGCAGGCCGTGAGCTTTGCTGCAGGGGAAGGACCCCGGGGGTGGGAGGGGGACGGGCAATAAGAAAGAAAATGCTCTTAACAAAGAAGCAAGTTTATATATTGTGGCTCTGTTAACAACAAACCTCTGCTCTCCTGTGTGTCACATGGCAGTCAGGACGGTGGCTGCGTGTGCCAGGGGCTGGGCTGTGCCCAGCAGGTCTGAACTAAGGGAAGGATGGGCACAAACACAAGCCAAACCACCCGGTGTCCCCTGCCACCTGAGGGGCTGCAAAGGGGCAGGGTGGGGGTTGGGAATTGCCAGCCCCAAAGCCGACGTCGGCTGGTCAGGAGACACACCGTGTCCCAGCACACGCGGCCCCTCCCTCCGTGCTGCCAGGGCTGCAGGGAGCCCGCTAAGCAGCTGCGGTGCGTGCGGATAGGAAAGCTGGAACAGGCGCTTGGCGAACTGCGCTGGGCATCTGACATCAGCTATGGAAGTGAGAATGGCAGCAAGCGGGGAGGCTGGGGGGATATGCAGGGCCCTGAGCCTGAGCCGTGCCGGGACTCCCTGCAGAGACTCAGCTGCTCAGGATCAGGCCCACAGACCCGTGTCAAGGCTTCTCTCTGGCTGGCCAAGAGCCCTCCTTGCTCTGTCCCCTTTCTGTGGCATCAGCACGTTCTCTAGCCCTCCTGGAAATGAGTCACAGCCGCACCCTGGGCCCTCCAGCACCCCCACCTGCACCCTCCCCCGGCCAGTGACCGTGCAGCTCCCCCGGCCTGTACCCTCCCCCAGCCAGTGACCATGCAGCTCCCCCGGCCTGCACCCTCCCCTGGCCTGCACCCTCCCCCGGCCAGTGACCATGCAGCTCCCCCGGCCTGCACCCTCCCCCAGCCAGTGACCGTGCAGCTCCCCCGGCCTGCACCCTCCCCTGGCCAGTGACCGTGCAGCACCCCCGGCCTGCACCCTCCCCCAGCCAGTGACCATGCAGCTCCCCCGGCCTGCACCCTCCCCCAGCCAGTGACCATGCAGCTCCCCCGGCCTGTACCCTCCCCCAGCCAGTGACCGTGCAGCTCCCCCGGCCTGCACCCTCCCCCGGCCAGTGACCGTGCAGCACCCCCCGGCCTGCACCCTCCCCCCAGCCAGTGACCATGCAGCTCCCCCGGCCTGCACCCTCCCCCAGCCAGTGACCATGCAGCTCCCCCGGCCTGTACCCTCCCCCAGCCAGTGACCGTGCAGCTCCCCCGGCCTGCACCCTCCCCTGGCCAGTGACCGTGCAGCACCCCCAGCCTGCACCCTCCCCCAGCCAGTGACCATGGAGCTCCCCCGGCCTGCACCCTCCCCCGGCCTGCACCCTCCCCCGGCCAGTGACCGTGCAGCTCCCGGCTGCTGATGCCACATGGTACAGGGCTCGCTCTCCGGTGAGGGGCTGGGACACCCGACTCGATGCAGCTCCCTGGAGCCTCCTGGAGCAAAGTGGTTACGGGCCCCAGCCAGCGGACGGTTACGCCCCTGTGCCACGGGCACTGTAGACACACACACAGGAGCATGAGGCACATGCTCAGCTCTCCGTTCCTGTGGGGCAGTCCCGGTAAGGCCTGGGGTGGCCCCGGTGTAACCGGCAGCAGTGACAGGGTCCGGTGTGTGTGTGTAGGATGCCCGCGTTGCCAGGGGCTCTCGCTGCCACCCAGGCAATGTGGTGCCCATGTTCTCCAAATGTTACACAATGCTGGGTTCTCCAGAGCTGGCCCATTAACTCTTTGAACCCTCTGGGGTCAGGAAGTGGCAGGGAGCCCTTCCCAGCCCCGTGTGGCATTGCCCATCCTCACGCGTGCTCTACCCGCCAGTGGGATCGGCTTAACCCTTCCCTCGCCACATGCTAAGACATGTCAGAGATCCACCTTCCGCTGGAGATCTTCCAGACCGCCCGGCCCCGGGAACTTGCATTCGGGCAGGGGTGGGAAACGTCTCTCTGCTGTTGCTAGCCAGCTGGGCTCCTGCGTTCCCCTCCATCTGCCTGGGGGGATGGCTGCTCGGGCTGACAGACTGGGGGGGTCTCCAGCACTGGGCAGTTTGCCGGGCAAGAAGCATTCTGGACATCAGGTCTTGGAGAGCTGCAAAGAGGGATATTCCCAGGTGTACAGCAGTTATCTTGGTTTTAGCACGCTTCCCCTCAGGGGGGTCCCTGGTGGCTAGCAAGCTCTCACAGGGCTGCCAGCAGGAATGGTCTCCACAACGAGTGTAAGGAAAACAGTCCTGTATTCCTAACTCCTCCGTGTGCTAAAACTAAAATATAAACTACACCTCGTCTGGGATGGTGGGGGGTCGGCTTGGACGTCCAGAGGAATAATGATACAACGGGTACACGTTCCCCAGGATGCGTGGGGCGAAGAGAGATTTTGCAGTGTGAAAGGTTATGTGTTCAGCCGTCCATCCCGTGCTGCCACCCATCCTACTCACTGTCGCTCTTATCCACCAGCACTGCGTCCGACTCCTCCGTGATCTCCAGCAGCGTGTGCATCTCAGGGCTCTCCTCCCTCAGCAGCTCCGTGTTCTCGGCCTCTTCTCCTCCCACTTCCACCATCTCCGTGGCTTTCACCTCCACCTCGCCCTCTCTGATCTTCTTGACGTAGAAGGTGAAGGGTGGCACCTTGTAGACTGCTGTCTTGGACCTGGTGTAGATGGGGTGGTCGGGAGTGAAGGATTTCTTCAGCTTGTCTCGAGAGGTTTTCATCTTCTCCCTCCTCTCAGTGGTTACGATCTTGGTGCCCAGCTTGTTCATCCTCTTCTCCAGGTTGTGCCGGGTCTTCTCCAAGTTGTGTTTGGTCTTCTCCAAATTCTCCCTGGTCTTTAGCTTGGTCTTCTCCATCTTCTCCTTGGAGAAAGCCTTCTTGAAGTCATCCACCCTCTTCATGCCACTTCTCTTGATCCGCTCTGCTCGGGACTCCTCGATGGTCTCTTCAACCTCCACCTCCTCATCTGAGGAGAGCTGGATTCGGTCCTCATCGGCGCGGTCCTCGTCCACAGGGACCTCCACGCCCTCCTCTTCCTTCTCTTCCCTCTCAGTCTCCTTCAAAGACTTGCTGATGCTCAGCTTGGCCGGGAGCTTCACTTCATCCTGCCAACGGTGAAATGGAATCGGTAAGACACGTGCACTGTAAGGACCCACGGCCCTAGGACCCAGCCTGGCAGAGCTACAGCGCCTGGCGGCCACCCAGCACCACATGTAGGCAGCTTGTGCCCCACTTCCCACAACCCTCTGTGGACACAGCCCATGGGACATTTGGCCTCAGGGGTTTGTCAGGCAGCAGCCCCATGGCTCCTGATAGGCTCCCTGCCCTATATAAACCCAGCGGGCAGTCCAGGAACCATCTGGGCCACAGCGTGGTGCATCTCTGGTGTTGCCAGGGCTGTTCCTGTCTCATGCACTTGACCCCCTGGCTTGACGTCGGCTTGTTTTGGGCTTCGCCTCCTGACTCGGACTCTGACCCTTGCTATCAACCCCAGCCTGGAACTGACCACGAACTCCTCGGCTACCCCTAGCCTCAGCCCTGCCCCTGCTCTGCCCCTTGGCCCACTCTGCCCCCGCGGCTCCCAGCCATCTAACCTGGGCTGAGCAGCTCTCGGAGTCACTGCCCAGCTAGCCGCACTTACGAGGACTAAGATTCACAGCTAGTCTGACCTTGGGGACAAATCCAGCCTTCAGTGGCCAGCACCCGGCTTGGACTCCTCACCCCCTTTTTCACTCCTCCTGGTAAATTACCCCGGTAGGATGCAGCTCTCGCCCACAGCAGCTTGGGGCCCTTGCTAAATTCAAGCTGAGCCTTATCTGCCCTGCACACTCTGGCCTGGGTGACAAACCCACCGTGGCCTTGACAGCACAGGAGAGACCTGCAGGTGCTGGAACAGGGGCTCTGTCCCCTCTATCCTGGCTCCTCCCACCCCTCATCTTCCAAGCCCTTCACTAGCATCCTCTTCATCCCAAAACTGCTTGTACCACTCACGCTCCCGCCAGTCAAAGCTGCCAGCGGACTCTCCCCTCCGGCCCTCGGAGCTCATCTCCCCTGGCTGGCTCCCTCCCTCCGCGCAGCCCTGAGCTCCCTGCTGAGCAGTCCGGGGACTCCCCCCCCCCGTTCCCCGCTGGGGCATCCTGGGTGCTGCTGGCACCTGCATTCGGCACCGAGCCCAGCTTTTCACAGCGCGGGGTTCACTACAGTCACACGACTCAAGGCACAGGCCCCACCCTCTCACTCACCCATGGACAGCCTCCCTGATGCCAGGGCAGCCACTCCTGATTCACACCGGCCTCAGAGACGAACTAGGGGTCTGACTGATTCCAGCCCATGCAAACAGTGATGTATAGGAATTGGGTCGTATCCCTTTAAATAGCTTGTGAGCCCTCTCGTGGCGCTCACCATGTTGTATGTTTCACAACCCAGCCAGGACAGCAGTGCCAAGTCTGCAGAGAGTTATTTGCACTCACCCATGCCCTGGTGGTTTCTTGTTGCGCAAAGAGCAAAAGACACACCACAAAGCTCCCATGTTTGCCTCCCACTCCTGGCTGCAAGGCTGGTGTCTAACCTCTGCAGCACAGACTGGGAGGCCGTGCTTCCCCGGCCCGGTACATCACACCGCAAACAGAGCCAGGCAGCAGCAGGGGGCTTGGAGCTGCAGAGGAGCAGAGCTGGCATCTTGTCCCCTCTGCGAGAGCCGCCCAGGTTTCTGGCTGGTTCTGCAGAGCGAGAGGGTCTGGGATCCTCACCCGCCGAACTGCTCATTGCAGAAGAAACAGGATAAAACACCAGGTGCGAGAGTTGAAACCCGTGGCCTTGTTGCCTTGGTGTGTGGGAGCTGCCCTGGAGGAAAGGTTGTTTCTGCTAGTTATGTGTCCCCTGCCTGCCCTTCGCCCTATCGCATACCACCCCCGTGGCAGGACCACACCCAGCCGCTTGCTTGTTCCCTGGTACTGCTGGGGAAACTACCTCCCAAGCAGATTCCTCCCGAGGCTGCTGGTGAAGTAACATCCCTTCCCCATGCCGCTCGAGGCGGTGTCTGGGCATTCCCCAGAGCGATGTGAACAGAGCCTGCCAGCACTGGCCCTCCCCCTGGGAAGGGGCAGAGACCTCGCTCGATTTCCCAGCGCTCTCACAGCAGCGAGTCACTGGCTGACCACTGAGATCAGCTCCCCCGGGAGCACAGGAATTCAGGTCCCCCTAGAAATCACCCGTGATCTGTCATCGAGGGCACCTGCTGGGCTTTCCCCTGGGGCGAGGCCTCTCCTCTGAGCGTGGGAAAGCCCCTCCTATGGCCTCGTGCCTGCGGCAGCTGGGCTGGGAGCAGAGGGCTCCTGCCCCCCAAGGCTTGCGTTCCGCCCCGTTCTCACAACGCAGACGCACAGGAACCCTTCCCCTTGCACCTGGGCACTGGCCCCGGGGCTCGTGGAGGAAGGGAAAGTGAGCCAGGGAGATTTCCCCCACTTTCCCGAAAGAAGTGACCTGTGCCCGGCCTCCCAGCCCAGCCAGAGACAGCTGCCTTCCGTGGGGCTTGTTTCGAGTTACAGGGAAAGATTCCAAGCGCCCCCTGGTGCGAGGCGAGGGGCATCCCAACAGCACAGAGCAGCCGGCGGGCGCTGAGGAGGGTGCCCCGTGCCACGGGGCACGGGCTTCAGCATGTTTCCCTGTCCCCAGCAGCCGATGCCCCAGCAGATGCCCCAGCCCACGGCAGTCAAACCGCGGCTGTAACAGCAAAGGCCCACAAGCAGTGTGTTGTCCAGGGAGGTTAGAAAGGAGATTGGGGGCCCGGACTCCCGGGTTTTATTCCCAGCTCCAGGAGGGGAGTGGGGTTTAGAGCAAGGATGACTGGGAGCTAGGACTCCTGGGTTCTATCCTCAGCCCTGCCACTGGCTTCCTGGGTGACCTTGGGCAAATCACTTCCCCTCTCTGTGCCTCGGTTTCTTCATCTGTCAAGTGGGACCTGTGCTTAGCTAGTTGGCCAGGGGGAAGGCAGCTGGAGTCGGTCCATCCCTAGTTAGTCCCCTTTTTATTGAAGGGCCAAGCCTGCGAGGAGCCCTCTGCTCTGCGTTCCCCAGCCAGAATTAACTCCTGCTTCCCCCAGACATGGGTATAGTTACACCCGGCAGCGAGCGGGCAGGCAGCAGGAGGCTGTGACCGATTTGTAACCCCAAAATGTGCTTAAGGACAAACTAGCCCTACGACCTTCCCATCCTCTGGGAAATGGCTGTGCACACTGATGAGCTAATACACCTGTGAAGTGGGTCAGCTTCCTTGGGGAAACTGAGGCATGAAATCCCAGCGTGACTTACCCAAGGTCCCTCAGCAAGCAAGCATCAGTGCCAGGAATAGGACCCAGGAGTTCAGGGTTCGGGCGGCCTTTTTCTCTTTTGGGCTACCCAACTAGCCTGGCCCATGTCTGTTCACAGCCTGAATACAGCCCAAATCCATAACAAAAATAACCCACCCTATCCTGTTTTCAAGCAGGGAACTGGCCAAGCGCAGGTTGCTTCAAACAGCTTTTTGGTCGATTCCTCCATCACCAGCCTAGGATGTGAGTTCACAATCCCCAGTGACTCCAGCCAGGGAGCAGGACCTTGCAATGCTCAGGGCCAGCGGGGAACCGTAGGCAGACGGAGTAGCGGCAGTTTCTTAGGGGCCTATTGACGTGCCCCGGCCAGAGTGAAGATGGGATGGCTCCCCCGCACCCTCCCCTCAGCCGGGTCCAGGACAGACAAATGCTCCGGTCTCTGCATGAGCGTGTATTAAGCTGCCTGCAGGGGCCAGGCAGTCAGCGTGTGGGGTGTAGCTTCTTACCCTGCAGATGGACCTTTGCATCCAGTGCCGTGGGGCACGGGGGCAGAGAAGGGGCAAGCAGCACCTGCCCATCTCCCCTGGTTTACCCATAGCCTGGCTGACCTGACAGGCCCCTGCCTCACATGCTCCCCCAGACCCTGTTCTGCCTGGCTGGTTCCCCTCCAGGGCTGTGGGCCTGGCCGGGGGCCCAGGGCCCTCCCCTGGCCTCCTGGGCCGGCCAGGGGCATTACCTCATTTTCACCGTGTACCCTGGAGCATGGCCATCCTGCCTTTGTTTGCCAGAGGCCGGAATGGCTCCCCTGGCTCCTGCCCCACCATAGGCTCTGTCAACATCTTTTTAGACAATCAGAACTTTCCTATTGTTGTTCTCCCGGCCAAGCACAATTAGCCTCGGGCCCTGGTTTCACATTCTTTCCCCGGCTCGAATGGCCCTGCGCAACAAGCCACCAGGGTTAGAGCAAGGGTGGAGCCTGGGCTGCTAGTGCCAGGAGGAGAGAGAAGGAGACGATGCTCCCTCTGTGGCATTTGGTGGGGGCTTTGCCCTCCCCACGGGGCTGACTGCCTGCCCTGGCGCCTTCCCCCGGTGCGACATGTGCCCAAATCAGAGTTCTCAGCCCCCATTCTCTGCCCAGAGCAGCACAAGGCACCGGCAGGGGGCTCGGGGCGCTGCTGTCCCAGCTCAATGCTGCCAGCTCTCACAACCGTGCCATGCGTCTTGTGACGTTCGATGTTTCCAGCCCCAGCTCCAGGAGTCAGGTGATTATGAGACGCTCCATTTTTCATGTAAAGGAAAATGGAAGTTTTTAACCCTCGCAGCTGGTGTGGGGAGTTGGGAGACGTGACCCCTAGAGGCTCAGAAACCAGGGGCCCTGCTCTTCCCTATCTGTTACTCCATATTCCCCCCAATTGCTTCTCTCCATGGCGCCGGAATGCAGCCTGGCCTGAAACCCAGCCTGTGCTGGGCTGGAGGCTCAGCAGCGCTGCGACGCCCAGCCAGCCCTGCTCCTGCTGAGCACATGTTGGTATCTGTTCCTGCCGCCAGACAGAGCCAGTCTCGGGGCAGCAGCTGCCTTGCTGGGCGACAGGCTCTGCAGCGCACGGAAAGATGGGAAATCACCTTCTCCCTGGGCGTGGAGAGCTGCAGCCGGATCTGCGCCTTGCGGCAGGAGGAGGGACTCTGAGCTGGAGTGGCCTTGTGATCCCTGCCACTCAGGTTGGATTTGGCCCCGGCGTCCCTCCCGATAGCGCAGGCCTTGTGGCTCAGCTCCCAGGTCCAGTCAGTCGCTGCATT